TAGCCAAAACCACGTAACAAATCATGGCATGCCAATTCCGTCTTTGCTACAGATAAGAATTGTTGTTCAAACCTTAGTCCCAAAGCCTTGACACAAGCTTTATCCACAGAATATTCACTTCACCTGCTTGGTGGCCTCGAGTTTGCTAATAATTATCCCATGCATGCATCACATTAGCTTACTTCACGTAATTAATCTTTCAAGTTAGACTCCACCTTGGTTACCAACTGATGCCACCGTGTGCTAGGACTCTTCTCATAATGCATGATGCTCAATCCCCACGTTGAATGCTAAAAATCCCAAATTAAATCGAACTGTTCTACTTGCTTTGATATAGTTTGCGTCACATGTATGTCGTATAAGAAAAGTGTCAAGATAATTCATTATTAAAAGATAATTATTATGATTAAAAATCATAATATTATCCCCTAACGACAACAAAATTATCTTAAATTTTCTATCCGAAGGTGTGGAGCTATACTTACTCAACGGTCTTGATTGCACTGGCTGATGGTGTAATTTTGGGTCCAAACAGATATATATTAGGAAAACCTAACCTTTGAAATATGCATGGGTAATTCATAAGTAATTAGAGGAACTACGTAGGATTGTTAAGGTGATGGCGGAACCCTAGTGTTTCTTTAAATTGATTTTCTTTAAATTGCTTTCTAGTTTATTATTTAATTGTCTTTATTTTAAATTGGTTTTTATTATTTTAAATTCCAAAATCAACATTTTTGAAACTTTGTTCTAAATAATTAGCTAAGAATTAGTTTAAATACAAATTATTCATTCAATTCCCATGAAAAACAACCTTACTTGAGCTGCTATAGTACGACAACCTTGTACTCTTGAAAGTATTTTTATGTATTTTTATCCTTATTTGCGCAGACGGTAGAAACCCTACAAGGCACCTCCCGATTGTTGGAAGTATGCCCACAAAGCCACTCATTTGATGTAATAGCTTTTTGGAATACTTATTGTGTTAAACTTTTATATGTTTAATAGAAGGGCAAAGCTTATTGTTAATCACTATTTATAGTATCTTGTGTTTAAGCAATAAGGGAATCCAAGGAATGTATTTGATCTAAGAGACAAGTGATTTAAGTTAGTTAAATTGACGAGACCTTTCTCTTATGTTCATTCCTAAAACGTTCCTAGCCATAGGATTGCCAATTGGGCATTGACAATCCGCTAAGGTTAGTATGTGTTATGTCGACTCAAGCGTGAGTATGAACTAGTCTCAAGTCATTTGGTGTTGGACACTAAGGCAAACACATAGGTGCTCGAAAGAGTAATCGAGTACACTGAACAACGATCAAACAAGAGTTCGAACATACATGTCATGTGAGAACTCAATAGTTGCAATATGCAAAGTAGTCCTTTGACCTGAGGCATCATTGATGTCTAATGGTTAGGTCCTTGATCTTTGATTATGTCAATGGCATTCCATTGGAGTGTCCACGGCATTGTTGGGGTCAAGCTATCTAGTCATGTAGGCATATGAATGTACAACAAGGGATCTCTAACCTTCCATGATGGAAGGAGAATACTCTAAGATTTGATTCAAGAGTCTTTGGCCAAAGCATATGAATATGACTAAGGAAGATGTTCCAAATCTTATTCAATTGAATCATATAGAGAAGTATCACATTGGATAGTAGACATGAAACAAACTATCACTTAAACAATGTGATTAAGAGTATTGTATTAGAGAAGGACCGTATTGCATTGTAGTTGTAACTGGATAGGTTCTCCAACCACTTCTACTTAGCTTGGGTAACCATGACATGCTGCTAGGCGTCACCCATGGTTTGTGGAAGCCCTAAAGATTAGCAAACACTAATTTAAGGGAGAATTGAAATGTGGTTTCAATTCACAATCGATCGTTAAGAGTAACATCGCCCACTACCTCGCTAATTGGAACCTAATGGATTGTACACCGAGTAAAGATATAATTGAAGAAATTATATGAAATGGATAAGCAATTAAATGGTTTAATTGAAGAATGGTCAAGATTAATTAAATAGTTAATTAATTATACGAAACGTTCGTATTGGGCGTTTAAGTTAGTTTTGGGCTTCGGGGCACAAAAAAGTTTTGGTCCACAAGGCCCATTATGTTTAAGTTGTATGACAACTAAAACAAAATGGGCAATTAAGCCCAAATACAACATATGGCCGGCCATAAGCTTCAAGGGTAGTGAACTTGGCTTAATTGCAAGTTTGCCACTCCATTGTGAGGTGGTATAAAGACATCTTTATAGCCATTTCACCAAAAGGGTTTTCTAATTGAATTTGGGTGAAACCTATTCTCTCATTTCACCTTAGGGGAGGAACATCTAGCAATCTTTCTTCCCTAAGTCATCCATTTCATCTTCACACAACATCTTTGGTGTGGAGACTTAGAGACACCAAACTTTTGGTGTTTTGGAGAACAAATCCTCAAATCCTCAAAGAAGAAAAGGAGCACTAAAAGGGAGGAAATCACAAGGAAGATTCAAGGAGCAAGGAGGTGACTTGAAGGCCCTCCACTTGGGTGAATCCCTTGTGCAATCAAGGATGAGCTTCAAGGGTAAAGAATCTCTAAATTCTTATTCTCTTTAATTTTGTTAAAGAGTCTTATGGTTCACCATATACTAGGCTTTGAAAGTCATGGGTTTTATGAATTGTTTTTGAATGCATGCCTACTTTAAAGAGTTATTAGTTTGCATATGTATTCAAATGTTCTTACATGTTCTTAGTTAGGACAAAATTTTTCCTTCACCGATACTGTCCCGCTTCTGAACGATCCACGACCAGTACCTAATCATCTTTGAATATTAATGGTTTCTCCGTCTCTAGCACCCTGAACATATCTCTCTTATTCACAAACCTAGCGATGAAACGTTATCCATCCAGCACTCGACGCCTTCCCTTCCTCGCCAAATAGACATAAACTGGTCAATAAAAGTCTCGCAATTGATCTCTCTACTCGAAAACACCACTGCCAACACATTATGGTGAAACCCTAAAAGCGCTCCTTCGACTACTTTCCGCTCAATTTTGACCCCTCTGAATTCATTCTCTTTTAGCTCTAAACTGGAGCCAAAAGGCTTTCCAAGAGCGTCCAACTCACTCTTCTCCCTCTGTTCACCCATCGGACCTACGTCCAAGGGTTTGTGCAATGGTGATTCCTTCCTTTTTATCGTATCCTTTTTTTCCTCGTTCAGCCTCGTTGTCATCTCAGAGCCTAATCCTTAGATTTGAAATTCCTTTTTTTTTACTCCACTCTTGCCGTCTCCGTGTTCCTTGCTCGTCTGATGTCAACCTAATCCCAAACCCTAGCCCTCACGACTTTTCCTTTCTTTTACGAGAACTTTTTTTACTCATACCAATTATTTTTAGGAAAATGATTCTCATAACCTATTTTTATCTTCATATACACCCTTATTTATCCAAATACCTTTAAATGGAATAAAACAAAAGGAAATCAATTAATGAAATTACATTTTACAACCTTACCTATGTATCACATAACAAACTCATACCTTACCTTTTGAACATTGGAATGTCATACATCAACTTACAAATTTGTTGCACAGTTCTACTCCTAGCCTGAGTCGTGGAGACGTTGAACTGTGTCTAGTCTCTCCTGACGCTTTTATTTTTTAATATTTAATGTTTTAATTTGATATTCTTTTTGCTATATATTTATAAATATTTTCTAATTTAAAAATATTTTTTCTTTAATTATAAGGGTAAATTAGTAAATTTATAAGCTAATTTTTTACCCAAGGGTTTATTTGAAAGTGAAACAAAACGTAAAGGGGCGTTAGTGTAATGTCTCAAACGTGAAGGGATTTTGTGAAAACTCGATAAACTTCAAGGGGCGTTATTGTAATTAACTCAGCTAAGAAAGAGACAGAGACAGAGAGAGAGAGAGAGAGAGAGATTAGGTGAGGGGAAATGAATGGGATGTGGTTTTTTTTTTTAATAAATATAAAAAGAATTGAATATTTAATAACTAAATATTTTTTTTAGTTGTTTAGCTATGTGGCATAAGTTGGGTGACACACGTCAACTAATGTGAAATTCATTGGTGTTATGTCGTCACTTAACGGCTAACTTAATATATTTTTTTAACGAAGGTTTGATATTGCAATGAATTATTGTAAGTTGATGTATGACATTGCAATGTTTAAAAACGAGATATGAGATTGTAGTGTGATCCAAAATTACAATTGTTTAGTGTAGTTTATTTTAAAAATAAATAGAAGTGTGTAGAACGGGAAAAAAAAAATCATGTGCATAGATTATTTCTAATATTGTAAAGAACTACGTGAGTGCAAATGTGAGATATGAATAGATAGCGAAGTGCTTGACAACGACGATGAAAAAAAAACAAAAAAAAACTGAGAGCGTGGTAGCTGGAACAATTTATCATGATGTTATTTATTCATTATTTTTCTACCCAACGCAAGTATTTTGTAGTTCAATTAATTATTAATATTTACACCTGTATTTGATAATCTGAGATTTGATTCCCTTCCCTCGTTTGTATCAAAAACCATTTTAAAACAAGACAGGTAGGTGTTATTTGCCGATGAGTATCCTCTTCGGATCTTCGAGGATTTTAGGAGTCAATTTTGGTAAAATGTATATTGTACGGTTAATTTTCGTAAAATAATATTTGTGTTTAATTTTAAATAAAAATATTCAAATAATTTCTAAAAGCATAATTTATGATTAACGATTAAGATATAAGAATCTTTAGAATTTCTATAATTTAAATCTAGACGAGGTCCAAATCCGATATTTGCTATTGCTTCGTTGACTTCAGTTAAGCATAGATGAATGAATAACGGAACACGTAGATCAATGATAAGCTTAAATATTACGATCCAGCATTTCGAGGGATGCTTTTAGTTTGGCCTTTAAATTTGAAATTAATTAAAGTTTTACTTTTCCATAAAAATCAAAATTGTGGGTTTCCTTCACATAACATAGGAGATAGGACGATACAATTTTGTCTTGAGAGAGAGAGAGAGAGAGAGATGGACTGGTTGAGCTTTTCCCTTTATCTCATTCTCACCTGGGCATTGCTGGAAGCTCTCTTCTACTCACTTGGAAGAGGTAAAAAGAGTTCAAGATCAAAGCAGCTTCCACCGGGGCCAAAACCCTTCCCAGTCATTGGGAACCTGCACCAACTTGGTGACAAACCCCACAAGTCTCTTGCCAAACTTGCCCAAAAACATGGCCCTCTCATGTCCCTAAAACTAGGTCAAGTAACTTCCATAGTCATTTCTTCAGCAGCCATGGCCAAAGAAGTTCTCCAAACCCATGATCACTTCTTCTGTAACCGAACAATCCCCGATTCGCTTCGAGCTCATGATCACCATACGATTGGATTGCCTTGGCTACCAGTTTCAACCATGTGGAGAAACCTTAGAAAAATATGCAACACTCAACTCTTTGCCAATAAAATGCTTGATTCCAACGAAAACCTGCGGCGCAGGAAACTGCAGGAGCTCCTTGAAGAGGTCCGTCAAAGTAGCGTAAGCGGTCAGGCACTGGATATTGGGAAGGCTGCATTCACAACAGTTCTCAATTTGTTGAGCAATACAATTTTTTCGATCGATTTGGCCGACCCAAATTCTGAAATGGCTAGGAACTTCAAGGAGATGGTGTGTAATATTATGATGGAGGCTGGGAAGCCGAATTTGGGGGACTGTTTTCCTGTGCTTAGAAAATTTGACCCCAATGGCAGAAGGCGGAGGATGACAAAGTACTTTAGTAAGATATTGGATCTGAATGATAGGTTAATCAACCAAAGGATGGAGTTACGAAAATTGCCTGGTTCTGCGGTTAAAAATGATGTGTTAGAAACCCTTCTTAACATTGCTGAGGAAAGCAGTGAAGTGATCAACAAAAATGATATCAATCATCTGTTACTGGTTAGTACAAATCTTTTTGAAACTGTTTACTAGCTTTAACTTTTTATCTTTTATATATACCAGCGAAAGCGAGGGGGAACAATCAAATATAAAATGCAGATCGAGTGCATGCTCTTAGCTGCTTGATCTACAAACTCTTCGCTATACTTTGTTGTTTGATAACTATTTCGTTATTTAGTTTTTATTTTTATTTTTTTAACTAAAACATTGTGAAAATTAAAACCAAATTTTGAAAACTCACAAAAGTAACTTTCAGTATTTGGTATTGAAAACTGAAATAATTACCATACAAGCTTTTAGTTAAAAAAATAAAAAATAAAAATGAAATGGTTTTCAAACGGCTCTTCGCCTGTGATTTCAGTGGTTATGTTTGATAATAGGTCTTATTTGTTGCTGGATCAGACACAACATCGTCCACATTCCAATGGGCAATGGCAGAGCTATTGCACAACCCTGAGGTTCTATCCAAAGCTCAATTAGAGCTTGAGCAAGTAATTGGCAAAGGCAATCCAATAGAGGAATCAGACATTGCAAGACTGCCTTACTTGCAATCCATAGTCAAAGAGACCTTTAGGTTGCATCCTGCAGTTCCATTGTTACTTCCCCGAAAAGCTGGAGCAGACGTAGAAATTGAAGGCTACACAGTGACAAAGGGTGCACAAGTGCTTGTTAACACGTGGGCTATTGGCAGGGACACAAACTTGTGGGATGAGCCGAATTCGTTTAAGCCGGAGAGGTTTTGGGGGTCGGAAGTTGATGTTAGAGGCCGGAATTTTGAGCTTATACCTTTCGGAGGTGGACGGAGAATATGTCCTGGATTGCCATTGGCAATGAGAATGTTGCACTTAATGTTGGGTTCTCTTATTCATTTATTTGATTGGAAGCTTCCAGATGGGGTTACACCAAAGAACATGAACATGGATGATAAGGTTGGCCTCACCTTAGAGATGTCCCAACCCTTGCGAGCTATTCCTATCCCATTGTAAATGTCCAATATTTTGCAAAACTACTCCATGAATTATTATTGTTTTGCAAAGTGGAATGTTTCTTGTTTTCATGAATAATCTGGGATGGACAGTTTTATGCCAGGTGACAAGTTTGAGTGACATGTAGCTTTCGAATTAAACATGTAATAGATTATAAATATAAAAGCATGTAATACTAATACATGACATGTTTTAAATACATTTATTTTAATTTTACTATTATTATTATTATTTAACAATTGATATTATTTACATTAAGGGAATGTAGAAGGGTTTAGCCTCATAATAGCCTAACAATAATGTGGTTCTAATTCATCTTAAGGGAGAATTAAACCTTAGACCTTTCACTTACAAGTAAAACAGAATATCACTAGACCATAGTACTAAGTGACACTTTTATTATTATTAAGGGATTAAGGGAGGGGGAGATTGAATCTGTTACAACAATTTGAGAGAGATGAAGAATTTCAAACTGCATGAGTAAAAACTCCACTCTCAATCCATTAAGATATTTAACCAAAAACAACATGTTTTAATACTAGGTATATCGCAAATTAGGCCATCTCCCATAAACATAAAATTTAGAGTCAAAAGTTATATCCAACTGTAAATTTGACTCAACAATCTCCATTGTACCGCAAAAAGTATGGTAATATGAATATTTGAAATAATTGATTTTTTTATTTGCTAACCAAGTAAAAGGGCCACGCCAGTCAACCAAAATATCCAAGATGAGGAGGTACCTCAAAATACAAGAAAATCGAACATTAGTCCAATTCCACACGCATAACCGGAAGGAAAAAAAAAAAAGAGATTAGTCGTAAGGTTTACATCACATTGAACTTTAACGATCTGAACTGTATGGTTTTCAAGTTGTATCTTATAGATTATTCTTGCAAAATATTAATCAAATCGTAAATATTTGAAGCATCTAATTAAGTTCGAAGAATTTGACAAATAATATGTTCTAAGAAACATTGAATTTCATCCAAACAATTAAATGGGAAAATAGTTTCGGATTGAATTAAATTTTTGCATAGATGATCTATGAACCGAGACTAACAAAATAGACAGTTCGATGTGGAATAAATCCTATAACCAATGATGGAACCAGGATTTTAAACTCAACAGTCCCAATAATAAAGATCAAAAAATTTATAGACAAAAATAACATTGAAAAGTTAAATTATAAAATATTTCATTAAAAAATCATACGCAAAATAACATTACAAGCTATAACATCCTAATTCAAGCGTCCAAGATGAGGTTAATAAGTGTGAAAATGTTTCATGATAGCTTCGTTACCAATACATGAAAAAACATCTTTCTCAATGCAAAAGACTAATCTGTCACTCAACCATTAATCTCCCATTTTTCTGTGAAGTGGACCCTTAATGATATTCACAGTAGAAAATGCCCTCTACCATAAAGCGGTTGTATCTGGCAAAACCAAAGCCAACTAAACAAGCAAATATACATATGCAAATGTTTGATGCAACCCTTTCTCCACCATTTTCTTAGCACGATCACTAATCTCCCACAATTGAGAAAAATCATTATCAGAATGCATAAAATGAATATAAATATCAAGTTGATCTTGAAGTGCCAATCGATCTCGTTCCATGAAATCTTTAGAATACAACTGAGCAAGATGAACAAGCTTTTCTTCATCAAAAGCTACAAATGAATCATTCGGACTCAAACATGCCAAGCAAATAAGCAATTTGGTATTACCTTAAATGAAGCAATCATCTAATTATGTATGTTGAAAATCAATGACCTCAAAAAAGAGTTCCACTTTGTAATGATGACGATTGGTCTTTTCTGAAGCCTTATGCAATGACTTCCCTCGAATGACATATGAATCATCCAAATTAGGTACTTCAATTTCATGTTCGACACAAAAGGATTATACTTTATCAACCAAAAAATCAAAATTTTCATTATTTCTCATGCAACATAGTTGTTTTTTACATGTCTTGACTAAAGCCATTGCATTCACAATCTCTGGATATTTCTTTTGCAATGCTTGTGACAAATCATTTGTAATTTCCAATATGGATTTCATCAAAAAGAGGAGGAGCACAAGTTCAGAAGGTTGTAAATCTTTTAATAACCTTTTTGCTTCACCAACAATATCATTGTAGCAATCTTCAACAATCATGTCAAGCACATCCACCACAGAAGAGAACATTGTAATCAAACTAATCAAAGCACCATGATGTGAATTTCATAGTGTATTCCCAACACGTTTGAGACTAGTTTATTGATTTAATCCTTGCCCCGTTTCAAGACAATCATTTTCAATAGCTTTCATGAGATTTTCTTGTTGTTTCTAAGTACATCACAACACTTACATGAGCATCCAACAACATTCACCAAACTATTAGTCAATGTGAAAAAAAGAGGCAACATCGGAGTTTTTCTATGCTACTGCAACAAGAGCTAATTGTAGTTGATGAGCAAAACAATGAACATAGAATACACAACTTTCTTCATCCAAATTTTTTTAAGGCCATTGAACTCACCTCTCATATTACTCGTGCCATCATAACCTTGATCTCGTAGGTTGGACTAACTTAAATCATGTAGCTTCAAGAACTCACCAATGGACTCCTTTAGTTTAATTGAAGTTGTTTTAGTAACATGTTGGACTCCAATGAACCTTTCAAATACTTGACCTTTGTTGTCCACATAATGCAAAACCATAGCCATTTGCTCTTTTATTGAAACTTCACGTGATTCATCTACCATTATAGAAAAGAATTTACTCTCTTTCATTTCCTTCATAATATCCTTACTGGTTTTGAAGGCATATGAATTGACAATATCTTTTTGAATTGAAGGAGCTATTAGCATGAGATTTCTTGGAGCATTTTCCAACACAACTTCCTTTATTTTCTCATCATGATCTGCAAGGAATTGCAAGAGTTCTAAATAATTCCTCCTATTATTTGAAGTGTCACTTTCATCGTGGCCACGAAAAGGAAGGCCTTGTCGCAACAAGAGCTTAGTTAAATCTATTGATGCATTCAAGCAAAGACGATATTTCATACATTATTCTTCTGGCTGTTTGATCACAACTGCTTCAATATGTGTCTTTTGGTTCCATTTCTCTTGCTTTATTTTGGACACTACCAATAGGACCAACATGTTTGTCAAAACATTCTCTTGCATTCTTCCATTTCTTAAAATTACCCCAATGAAGGCATCACTTCCTAATTGTGAAAAGTAGATTTCAAAGAGATAGCAATGAAAAAAAAATGCTGCATCTTTGGATATACTAGATGTGGATGCAAATTTCCGCCTTTTTCTTCTTGGACAAAATTGCACCCACAAAACAATTAACACCTTTGGTCAAGGCCAAGAGCCTCACACACCTATGATGAATTGGGGGGAGGGGGCTTTAGCCGAAAAACCTCTAATGCCAAAGTTAGAATTTAGAGAGAAAGTGTTTGAGAATTTTAGAGAATTTTAGCAAGAGAATTGGAAGTGAACTTTGAGTAGAATGATGGGGTTTATATAGGAGAGTGGCTAGCCTCCTTAGGTGAGACAAGACCGGCCACCTAGCTCCCTTTGTGGGCTAGGTTCTTGATTTGTATTAATTTGGGAGTTATGAAAATAATTAGATAATTAATTAGCAAATAGAATAATTGCCTAATTAACTAGCTAATTAATATAATAAAAGGGCAAAATGTGGTAGAATATATGAGGTATGGCCAGTCTCTTTGGGAGAGAAGGTGACTAGCCCTTTGCGTATTTTTTGGTTGTTATGGATAGTTTAATTGACAATTAATGGATTAATTAGGCAATAAACCCATTAATTAGCCAATTAACATAATTCAAAAGGAATGTTTTTGGGAATTACCTTGTAGGAAGGATTTGATGTGAATGGATGAAATAGGTTTTGAATTGTTACCTATTTTGGGCATTTTTGACTTGGTTGAGTGATGATTGCCCGCTACTCGTGCATTGGAATCCCGATATGCCTCAAGGGTATTTTTGTCCTCTTTCACCCAAAAATCCACTTGTCGTCTTGTGATTATTTTTGGCTCCATAAATGCCCTCACACCTGTTGGGCTGCTCGCAGAAAAGGGCAACAGGTGTAGAGATTTTCTTACATTAGGAAACATAGGTTTGTTTCCTATTTTGATGTAGATTTCCTCTTGAATAAGAAATTAGATCCTTTTAGGAAAGGGAAATAAATTTCTTTCAAAGCCTATTTAAGTCCACCTAAAGTGGATTATTAAATCAACTTTGGAGAGAAATTTATTTTACCCTCCAAGCGAGAGAGAGCTTAGAGAATATTTGTCACATCCCGATACAGGACCTCACCGCATCCCGAGCTTGACTCTACCGTAGCACGATATTGTCCGCTTTGGGCCTCGACCACACCCTCAAGGTTTTGTTTCTGGGAACTCACACAGAACTTCCCAATAGGTCACCCATCATGGGATTGCTCTCGCGCGCTACTTGCTTAACTTCGGAGTTCCTATGGAACCCGAAGCCATTGAGCTCCCAAAAGGCCTCGTGCTAGGTAGAGATGGGAATATACATATAAGGCTTAGAGGATCCACTCCCCTGGGTGATGTTATCACATCCCCGCCTGGGCCCCACTACTTCCTGGGCTTGACTCTATCGTAGCACAATATTGTCCGCTTTGGGCCCCGACCACACCCTCACGGTTTTGTTTCTGGGAACTCACGAGCAACTTCCTAGTGGGTCACCCATCATGGGAATACTCTCGCTTAACTTCGGAGTTCCGATGGAACCCGAAGCCAGTGAGTTCCCAAAAGGCCTCATGCTAGGTAGAGATATACATATAAGGCTTACATGATCCACTCCCCTAGGCGATGTGGGATGTTACAATCCACCCCTCTTAGGGGCCCGACGTCCTCATGGCACACTTCTGGCCAGAGATTGGCTTTGATACCAAATTATCACATCCCAGGCTCGACTCCACCGTAGCATGATATTGTCCGCTTTGGGCCTCAACCATGCCCTTATAGTTTTGTTTCTGGGAATTGACGAGCAACTTCCCAGTGGGTTGATTTAGACCGCTCAATGGTTGCAGTTTCAAGCTTTACAATTGATTCGCCATCTCGTTGTACCAACTCATTTGCACGCTTGTCACTCATTTTCTTTCTTAGTTGCCTTATGGCTAGTTT